GCAGTGGGGGTGGGGGGAGGGCTGAAAGCAGAGGTCAGAGCAGACCAGACACAGAGACGGTTGAAGCTGAAGATGGGAATGAGGTTGGACAAGGGTTCAAATTGCAGATGGTCATGAGAACTGGACACTTTATTTTTTATTTTATTTTATTTTATTTTGAGACAGAGTCTCCCTCTGTCACCTAGGCTGGAGTGCAGTGGCATGATCTTGACTTGCTGCAACCTCTACCACCTGGGTTCAAGTGATTCCCCTGCCTCAACCTCCTGAATAGCTGGGACTACAGGTGCCCACCACCATGCCCAGCTGCTTTTCTTTGTATGTTTAGTAGAAACGGGGTTTCACCATTTGGCCAGATGGTCTTGATCTCTTGACCTCATAATTCGCCCGCCTAGGCCTCCCAAAATGCTGGGATTACAGGTGTAAGTGACTGCACCCGGTCGAGAATTGGAAATTTCAACTTCGGCTCTGGAGGCCGGGGGCAGCACACCGAGGGTCATCCAGTGGGGTGGTTTTGGGGGTGTGAGGAGGATGGAGGTGGGGTTGGCCTGGGATCGGGAGTGAGGATGGGGATTCAGAGGCAATCAGAAGGGGGATGGAGATAAGATTAGGAAGGGAGGCAGGGGTGGTGGCTCACGCCTGAAACCCCATCACTTTGGGAGGTCAAGGTGGGAGGATCACTTGAGGGCAGGAGTTCCAGACCAGCCTGGGCAACATGGCAAGACTCCATCTCTACATAAAAATTTAAAAATCACTGGGCATGATGGTGCATGGCTGTAGTCCCAGCTATTCGGGAGGCTAAGGTGTGAGGATTGCTTGAGCCCAGGAGGTTGAGGCTGCTGTGAGCTATATGATTGCACTTCAGCCTGGGCAACAGTGGGAGATCCCATCTAAAAAAAAAAAAGAAAAGAAAGAAAGTCGGGAAAAAAGAAGAAAGAGAGAGAAAAATAAAACAGAGAAGAAGAAAAGGAAAGGAGAGAAAGAGGAAAGGAGGGAAGAAGGAAGGGAGGGAGGAAAGGAGGGAGCGAGAGAGGGAGAAGGAAGAGAAGGAAGGGAGAAAGGGAAGAGGGGAGGAGGGGAGGAGGGAAGAGGGGAGGAGGGGAGGAGGGAAGAGGGGAGGAGGGGAGGAGGGAAGGAGAGAGGGAGAAGGAAGGGAAAGAAAGAAAGAAAAGAAAAAGGCCAGGCATGCTGGCTCACATCTGTGGTCCCAGCACTTTGGGAGGCCGAGGCAGCGGATCACTTGAGGTTAGGAGTTCGAGACCAGCCTGGCCAACATGGTGAAATCCCATCTCTACTAAAAACACAAAAATTAGCTGGGTGTGGTGGCGGGTGCCTATAATCCCAGCTATTCGGACAACTGAGACAAGAGAATTGCTTGAACCTAGGAGGCGGAGGTTACAGTGAGCTGAGGTTGTGCTATTGTACTCCTGCCTCGGCAACAAGAGCAAAACTCCATCTGAAAAAAAAGAAAAGTCATGCAGGGGCAGGAATGGGAGAGATGAGGGTGAGACGAGGTGGGGTCATTCGGGAAGGGATGCGCAGGTCCATCTGGGTGATCCCAACTGCTGGCCTGGCCACCCTGTGTTCTCCCACCCCGGTGCCCCCCACCTCCCGAAGATCTGGGATGTGGTGGAGAAGGCAGACATCGGCTGCACCCCGGGCAGCGGGAAGGACTACGACGGTGTCTTCCTGGATGCAGGGCTGGCGTTCAAGAGCAGCACTGGCCAGCAGACCTCCCAGAGGTCAGGTGAGGACGCCCCCCGAGCCAGTGCAGGGACAGCCAGCACCTCCACCTCCCAGATGCTGGGAGCAGAGCTCTGGAATCCGGGGCTCTGGGTTCAAGCCCCACCTCCGCCACCACCTAGCAAATCCCTTCTCTCTGAGCCTCAGTTTGCTCACCCATCAAATGGGAGCAGGAGCACCCCCACCTCACACGATGGTGAGGGGTGAGGGGAGGACCCTTAGTAGGTGCCTCATTCGTTGTCTTCTCGGTCCACCTGCCCCGCAGAACTTCAGTGCCCAAAGCCAGCCGCCCGCCGACGCCGGTCTGTGCAGCTCATGGAGAAGAGGATGGACAAAGGTGGGGGGCCCTTCCCACCCTACCCTGCCCCTGAGCCCCACCCCAGGAGACCCCAGCCTGGCCGTGCAGGAGCCAGAGAGGGAGGAGGGGAGGGCCGGCATGGGTGGGGGATGGGGGAGGGAGTGGAAGTCCTCGCTAGGGTCCATCCCGCGGCCCCCCGCCCACTGCCCCGCTGAGGGTCTGGCCCGGGGATGTGCTCCCACAGCCGGCCAGTACTCCAAGCAGCTGCGCAAGTGCTGTGAGGACGGCATGCGGGAGAACCCCATGAGGTTCTCGTGCCAGCGCCGAACCCGCTTCATCACCCTGGGCGAGGCGTGCGTCAAGGCCTTCCTGGACTGCTGCAACTACATCACCGAGCTGCGGCGACAGTACGAGCGCGCCAGCCACCTGGGCCTGGCCAGGAGTAGGTCCCACGGGCTGGGGGCACGGGCAGGGAGCGGCCTGAGGCTCCTGTCTGAGGAGGGAGGAGGCCTTGTCTTGGGGCAGGGGGGGACGGGGGCGGGACTGGAGAAGGTCCCTGTCTGATGGGGGAGGAGTAGGTCCCGGTCTGAGCAGGGAGGATGTCCCTGTCTGAGGAGGGAGGAGGATTCTGTCTGAGAGAGGAGGATGTCCCTGTCTGAGGAGGGAGGAGGATTCTATCTGAGAGAGGA